CGCTAAATGCTGTTATATACTTGTGTCGTTTAAACATTCCCACTAAAGTTACTGTATATATATACAAATGTGTGTGGGAAGCGGTCGTGTAACGGTTAGCGCGCTGTGCTACGAACCCGCTCACGGCCAACACCAGTGACGATTATCTGAACCGGTCCTGGGCCTCCCCTAGGTCGACTCAGCCTCAAATGAGTACCTGGTACGGTGTGTAAGCATCGTCAATGGGAAGACAAAGGCGGCCGGGCGTGGTGCTAGCCACCCACCTCCACGTGTGTAGGTACTCGCTAACAGCACTTGCCCCAACAGTCTGTTCAGGCTACAGATAGATAGATCCTTTATTGTCATTGTCACCAGTACAACGAAATTTAAAGTGCTCACCAGTCAGTACATCATTCGTAAATTTAAATATATAAAACAAGATATAAAAAGAAAATAAAAGATAATCAATAAATTTTATATATAAAAACAATCCAAGTATACCCACATACCCATATACAAGTACATTTTATCATTGCACATCCCTATTTTACAGTCAATTGTAAACAGTATTACTTAATAATGAATTAGCAGTATTGAGTGTGGTAATTGCTGTAGGATAACAGCTGTGTTGGAATCTGTTTGTCCTTGTTTTGACTGATCTGAATCGTCTGCCTGATGGCAACAGCTCAAACAGTGAGTGTCCAGGGTGAGAAGAGTCCTTTATAATGTTCTTCGCTTTTTCGATGCAACGGGAATTGTGTAGTTCTTCCAATGTGGTGAGAGAGCACCCGGCGATTTTTTTTGGGCCGTGTTGATGACCCTCTGCAGCGCTTTCCTCTGAGCCACTGTGCAGCTGGTGTACCATACACAGATGCAGTATGTAAGAATGCTCTCGATGGAAGCTTGGTAGAAGGACACCAGCAGTTTCTGTGTGATGTTATTCTTCCTGAGTATTCTCAGGAAGTAAAGTCTCTGCTGGGCCTTTTTCAGTAGCTCGGAGGTGTTGGCGCTCCAGGTCAGGCCCTCCCCAATGTGGCACTCCCAGGAAGCGGAAGTCTGCCACCCTCTCCACACAGTCCCCGTTGATGGTTAGTGGTGGAGTGTCCGTTTTCTTTCTCCTGCAGTCTATTATGAGATCCTTGGTCTTTGCGGTGTTAAGGAGCAGGTTGTTGCCCCTGCACCACGCTGTCAGCCGCTCCACCTCGTCCCTGTAGGCAGACTCATCCCCCCCAGAGATGAGCCCCACCACTGTGGTGTCATCAGAAAACTTCACAATGGTGTTACTATGGTGGACGGAGGCACAGTCATGTGTGTAGAGGGAGTAGAGCAGGGGGCTCAGTACACAGCCCTGGGGGGAGCCAGTACTGAGGCTCAGGGCTGTGGATGTATAACGGCCCACTCTGACCCTTTGTCTGCGGCCCGAGAGGAAGCTATGTATCCACATGCAGGTGGAATGTGGAAGTCCCAGGTCGCCCAGTTTTACCACCAGTTTGTGTGGGAGGATGGTGTTGAACGCAGAACTGTAATCCACGAAGAGTATCCGCACATAGCTCCCCTGCTGCTCCAGGTGTGACAATGCAGCATGCAGTGCTGTGACCACGGCGTCCTCCGTGGATCGGTTCGCCTCTGTAGGCAAACTGGTGGGGGTCAAGGCTTCGGAGCAATGTTGCAATGATGTGACTCCGGACTAGATTTTCAAAGCACTTCATCACCACTGGCGTCAGTGCCACTGGCCGATAGTCGTTGAGGCTGGAAATGTGGGGTTTTTTCGGCAGGGGGACTATGGTGGAGGACTTTAGGCAGGGTGGTACCGTGGACTGTTCCAGAGACAGGTTGAAAATCCTTGTGAAGGCTCCAGACAGCTCGTCAGCACAGCCCCTCAGCACACGTCCCGGGACGCCATCAGGTCCCGCAGCCTTCCTCGGGTTGACGGCCCGCAACGTACGCCTCACCTCATGCTCCTCTACTGTGAGGTTCAAGCTGCTGTGGAAAGTGGGGTTTGGTGGTGCTGTCCCTGGTGGTGTCACCTCAAAGCGGGCAAAGAAGAGGTTCAACTTCTCTGCCAGAGCGGTGTCACCATCAGCAGCTCCGAGGTTGGCCCCGTAGTTGGTGAGGTGCTGAACTCCCTGCCACACCTGCCTGCTGTCGTTACTGTCCAGGCGTTCCTCAATCCTCCTCCTGTAGTCTGCTTTGGCCTCACGGATGCCTCTTTTCAGGTTAGCTCGAGCTGTGCTGTAGAGATGATTTGAAGGCGATGTTCCTCTCCTTCAGCAGCTGCTGGACCTCCCGGGTCATCCAGGGCTTCTGGTGGGAGTAAACCCGAATGCGTTTGTCCACAGTGACAGTGTCCATGCAGTTTTTAATGTAGCACAATACACTATCTGTGAACACCTCCAGGTCCTGATGTTCGAAGACCCCCCAGTTGGTCCTATCAAAGCAGTCCTGCAGCTGTTGGGTGGCACCCTCAGGCCAGGTGGCGACAGTTTACACGGGGGGGGGGGGGAGTCTTTGTCTATATATACATACATAAATGCCAGACAGTAAATGTTATGGCAAGATGTTAATGTACTTTACTGCAGAACGACCAATAACCCCTCTGACGGCAGTGTCTGTAGAACTCATCGATGTGGTACAGCGGGGGCTGGAAGTAGGCACACCTGATATAAGCACAGTTCTGATATAAGCAACACATGCTTACTTTACACTCCTTGGTGCTGGGGGGGTGGGCAAAGGGCAACTTCTCATCTCAGCACACTACTTCATATATAAGCACACATGTGCTCCCAAGGAGTGTGCTTATATCCATCTTGCGAATTACGTGATTCAAACACGCCATACAACAGGTTGTCAAATGAACACGCGATAGACACCAGACCATGGAAAAAAAGATGTACACTAACATCGCCTTTGTCTCGACTAAACACCCGAGCACTGTTGCGCACAGACAAGTAGGAATGCGGTCCATTATCTTTGCCATTTGCATTGTTGCGAAGTGTCCTGTGTTTGTTAATAAGGTTTACGTCCATTACTCTCCACATTAATTTTCGACAATCTGCGATAACTGTGAGTGATTTTGTTTCTGCGTTGCAATAATACACGCGGTGGGGGAGGCGGGCGACACACACACACGGCGCGGCGTAATTAAGTGCAATGTTGCTCTTTGTTTAGATAAAACTCACCGGAATAATCCACTCCGTGCCCCGTGATGACGAAGACGACACGAGTTAGTTTGAATTCTCACCTCCACAGCGGGAGGGGGGGAGGGCAGGGTGGGGGGAGGGGGCAAGGAGAGGACACCCTGCGGAGTGGGGTGGAGAGAGCAGACGTTTGGAAATACAGGTTGAAGAATGGTTACAAAAGACTGGTTCAAAAATTGAAGCCTGTCGAATGATCTGCCATGGGGATTTAAAATGCCGCTCCCCACCCCACCACCACATCCCACCGCTTCAACACAATTGGGCCTTGAGTGACCACGCATGCATGTGGAGGATAGGGAATTGTGCGCGGTGCTATTCTCAATTGAAATATTTTCACTTTCTTTTCAGAAAAGTATTTCGCCAGTCTTTATGCAATCTGCCGGCTACATATGTGCGTCCTTACTTATTTTCCAGAAATGTAACGTTACGTTTCACAGTAATTGGGGTCGTATGGGCACCTGCTTGGTGATGTGAATAAATGTATTTGTTACGTTTGTTTTGATTTAATTATGTTTGTCAATTGACAAGATGTATAATCGTGTCATTTAGACAAGATGAGGCTGTGAAACTTAATGGCCAGATTATTCCCCTTGCAGACCTGTGATGATTTTACATTCGAGTGCAAGTGCATGCGTGCGAATTTACGTGCGCATGTAAGTGTTTGTCTGTGTGATTCCATGTATGGGGAGTGGTAGTGTAGCGGTTAGCACTCTGTGCTACAAACCTGGCCAGCCAGGTTCAATTCTCACTCACGGCCAACACCGGTGACGATTATCTGGGCCTCCCCTAGGTCGACTCAGCCTCAAATTTGTACCTGGTGTGATGAGTAAACATCGCCACTGGGAAGACAGAGGCGGCCGGGCGTGGTGTTGGCCACCAACCCCCTCGTGTGCTGTGCTGGCCTTCATAGGTGTTCGCTAACAGCACTTGCCCCTACCGGCGATATGGGGGTCTTTGTCTTTTTTGTGATTCTATGTACATGCGAGGTGCACATTGCCTGGCACAGGGGTCGTTGTGACGTCACCGCTACTTAGTGGCGAACGGCGTTTGTTGATGTTGTTGTATATCCATGTGTGTACGCATATATGTGCACGCATGTGTGTGTGTTGATGTGCATGTATATATATTTTTTTATGGGAAGCGGTAGCGTAGTGGTTAGCGCACGGCGTTACAAATTGGCGATCCGAATTCGATTCCCGTCGCGACCAACATCAGTGACGAATATCGTCAACAGCCCTGGGCATCCCTTGGATTGAATCGTCCTTCAAGTGAAGCACCTGGCGTGGCGTGTTAACTTCAGCCCTTGGGAAGGAAAGGCATCTCAGTGTGGTGTTCACAACACCGCCTCCTTGTGCGCCATGTCGGCCTTAACAGGTCCTCACTTACAATAATTGCCCCCCCCCCCCCCCACAATCTGTGAATGCTACGTGGGGCACCTTTGTCCTTTCGTAATGACGACTTGACACACTTCTCTTGAGATTGCACTTTATTGAAGACACATTCACTTGCCATCAGGCGGAGACCCCCACTGCAAGAGCTCCGAGTCTCCTGCGCATCTCCCCCTTTTATAGCAACACGAGGCCACGCCCCCCTTCTCGATCCTTCTCGCTGACTCTGGACGCTCCCTCTACCGGCAGACTCCACCGTCCTCTTTCGTCACCTAACCACGCTCCCTTCTCGAACATTCCCGTAGCCACCAATCCCTTCACTTTCAACTGACACCGCTGTCATTGCCTCCCGTGGCCACTAGTCCCCTCACACCGCATGCAGGCTCTATTTGTCATTACACTTGTACGCACGTGTATTGGTTTGTGTGCGCTCCAGGCTCGGGCAGCGTCAAGGAAAACTACGCCCTCTCCGATGGCGAGGAGACTCACCCACCTCCACCGTCCACCCTTTCTGCAGAAGTCGCGCCGGCCGATTCGGTCAGCAACCCAAGTTCCAGCATCACCTCGCCCTCAAGTTCTACCGTTTCACTTCCACCTCCCCCTCCTCTTCCTTCTCCGTCGAAGGACAAGGGGGGCGCGAGGCAGGCACCGGCTGCCACAGTGGTGCCTAAGATCCGCGTGGCTGGGAAGGCCAGCGGCAGGAGGAGGAGGTGGAAGCTGCGGCGGACCTGCAGACGGAGGCGTCACGCGCTCCAGTCCGCGCTTCCGTTCTGCCCACCACCCAAGTCGGCGCTGTCGCACCTCAACGAGCTGAGGCCGGGACTCAGCTTTCAGCTGGCATCGCACACGGGTCCTCCCCATGCCCCGCGCTTCACGCTCGCCGTCGAGGTCAACGGTACCACCTTCGTCGGCGCCGGCGGGAGCAAGCGCGAAGCGAAGCGTCGGGCGGCCGAGCGGGCGCTTCGCTCCTTCGTGCAGTTCCCGGACGCGTGCGAGGCTCACCGCGCCATGGGCCCCGCCGCGAGCCTGCCGGCATGCTTGGACTTCGCGTGCGACCCCTGGGACCCGAGCTGCTGCGACCCGGCGCGAGGCCTCGCCGACGACGGCCCGCCGGAGTTCGCCGACAATCGAGACGAAAACTCGCAGAGTGCGGCGAGGACGGAGCCCAGGAGCTGCCCTCCAGGGGAACTCCACGTCAACCCGACAAAGTCTCCCTGCTGCTCCTCCTGCTGCTGCGGCTGCAGCGGCTACTGCCGCCGTTTTACAAGTTTGCCAGCTCACAGCGATGCCAATTGCCTCCTCAAAGATTCGGACGCCGCGGGAACTTTTGTCCGACCGGCTCCCGCCGGAGCGTACGGGCGGCATCCGGGCCACGACTCGTGTGGTTTACCGCAGCAGAGTCCGCACCGAGCGGCTCCCTGCAAGCGTTCGCTGACCAGGGTCCTGCAGCCGGGCCGACCGTCCGGCGACTTGCACCTCCTTCCGCACCCCCTCCTGCACCGTCCGCGCAGGACGTCTAAAGCGGAGCCCTACAAGAGATCTGCGATCAGCCATCTCGGTTCAGTGATGCCTCAGACTGGGGGCAGGAAGGCTGGCGTGCCTATCGATGGCCAGGGCTGCGTGAAGAGCCCGCAGCTGAGCGTGAAGGCATGTGCTTTCCGGTAGATCACAGCTAATGTGTGCATTGTGGGTCACCAGTTGTTATAAGGAGAATCCTCCCTGCAGACAAAGCGAGGTGACCTGCAAAGAAAAACGAACGATCCTCTTGACTACTCTGTCTCATGGGCTCTCATTTGTTCGGCTTTACAAATAGTAGAAGAAGATTATTAACAACTGGTTGGCACATTAATTTAACAACCCCACTTCGGTTTGATTCATTTCCACGATTGAGGGTCACGTTTCAAAAATACTTTTTTTTGTCTCCATTTAATCATCTTGTTAGTGTTGTTTCTCTTTCTTTCTATCTTGTTTGTAGAGTTGCGTTTGCCTAATTAGCATGTAGCATGTAGCTTGTATACACATCTAAATAAATCATAGTAAATAAATTCCCACAAGTGTGACAATGTATGTGAGAACGAACATATACAATTTTCTTGTCTAATAGATATGATCAGTTTTCTTCAGTGGGAATCGCTTGGTATTGTTCACGGAACTCCGAATCGTTGCAAGTGGACCACAGCACAGGCGTAACCCGTGTCACCAGCTCCATGGATTGCGTGGGAGATGTCGCAGTGAAATCGCGTGGTGAGCTTCTTCAGCCAACCCTTCTGATACCCCTCCCCCATCCCCCCCCCCTTCGCCTCCTCTCCGTGACAAATAAAATTTACTGCGGCCCTTCTTGTTGGCAGTCGCCCGAAGAGAGACCACCCCGCTGAAATGACGTAACCTGCCACGGGACGAGAGCGAGGGGGTGAGAGAAAATGAATATTTGAACAAACAAGATGATGGTGACAGACTGTCATCGTTCGGGTAATCGCCGAGGTGGTAGAAATCGGGTGCGGGGGTGGGGTGGAGAAACAAACAACAATTAGGAACAATCCCTGACGGGGAGCGGAGGGATGCAATCCCCATCGCTGGGCTCCCAGGGGCAGCAATAACGAGACAGCGCAGCAGGCCCGGGTGCCACTCGTTACCTGAGATGATGTACTACTTACCCCTGCCCACCTGTCTGTTTCGTGCCACCTTATGTGTGCCCTTTGTGTAAAGCGCTTTGCAAACATTTTTTTTTCTTCTCTCCTGATTTTGTATTCTTCTGAAACGGCACGCGCACGAGGGATGGTACAAAAAAAATGTTTTATGACGGCGATGCTGAAAAAGTCGCAGAGGGTGTGTGTTCTTGTACTTTATTTATCGTATATCCATAAAATGTTCGGCCTAATAAGCTATTATGATGGCGCATTGTTACGTACGAACCATAAAATAGATTTAGCGGCTTGGTGCGCGCAGGCTAATGTAGTGAGATGTACTGTAAGCTTCCAATGTGTAAGTGTACGCTGTACCTCTTTAATATACTGTTTACAGCACTATGTGATCGGTCCTTTGTGTACATTTCAAGCAGTCGCTTGAGGTTTGACCCTGGTTGTCGGCAAGGGACCTTACCAAGGTATTGCTTCCATGCCAGAAGGGGGATCCATGATTTAGTTAAAACATATTTACTAGTGATGGCATGGTGGGCAGAGTAACGGCAAAGTGGCTGCAGCACTGCACTATAAACATAGCACCTGAGTTTGATTCCCAGCTATGGCTAAAATCAGTGATAAGTGGTAATTGAAATGGGCCTGGTGCACTCCTTTTTTTTCCCCAAATCTGCACTGACCGCCTTGGCAAAATATGGTCAAACAACTCCCATTACCAACATGACATGGGGAGGCCTTCATCCAGCAGTCAATTGGTAAGGGCGGGGGTGTACATTATATATTGATGTCATGGCAATGATGCTGATTATAAATTCCTAAATAATGACACAGATCACTTTTGGGACGCAGGCTGTTGGTAAAAAAAAATACATCTGTGTGAGTGGACAAAAATACAAATGGTTAACAGAGAAAAGTGAGATTCCAAATCTAACGATGCGCCTTGCTCACCTCTTATAATCTCACCTTCCTTGGTGAGCCGTGCACTTTTTTTCCCATTGTATGTTGAACAATTCACTGGATTTACTCTCATTGAAGACAGTCTTAACTCTGATGTGGTTATCAGCTGCATGCGTGACAGGTCTGTAGACGGGGGAGGGGGGGGGGGCTGGATGGATATGTCTGGATAGCACAAAGCGTTCGTAATTTTTTTTTCTGTGAGACTGTCGTTCCCTTAAAATATAAAGCGGCACCAGCGTTGTCAATTTGTTCTCAAGCACTGCAGGTTTTTTTTGCTGTTTTCTTTCTGTGGCGGGAGTTATTTAGTAGGCTATTGATCGTGCTTATCGGCTGAGCCAGTGGTTATAGCTCTCTGTGGTAGATTGTAAATCATTGCCATGAGTTGACAAACCATATAGTAGTGCATTAGCTTACTGTGTACTGGGTGTGCGCTGTATAATTTTGCTTTAGAAACGGATGTCCTAATTATAGACCCCACATCAGCTTAGCCAAGGCTAACACTGAATGGCCAATTCAAAGCATGGCTGACAGTACTGTAGTTGACATATAATTAAATAAAAAATATACTTTTTAAAATATGGTTTAGCTGTAATCAATTGGTGTTTTCTCCGTCGGGGCTATTGTAATGATCCGTTGCACCCTATAGTTTGGACGGTATGGAATAAAATGACAAAATACCTTTGTGTCTGTTTTATAGTTACTTTATTGTCCTGATCACGTACGTATTTCTGAGTTTCAACAATTTACTCTCATTCAAGGCAGTCTTAAATGTACCACGTGCCCGATTGCCAAACTCGTCCCACGTGACGTGAAGGGGTGCTGATTAATTTGAATCGACGTTGTGTCACGTGGGACACGTGCGCACGAGCTATCATTGACTGAATCAGCGCTCTCCACGTCACATGGGACACTAACGCATACACATACACACATTCTCGAAATTAATTATAATCAGCACTCCTATGCCCCATGGGACACACGTACACAAATACACCAACCGTTCTCTAATTTATATTAAGCATTGGCAGCACTGTATTCACTACATCACGTGGGACAAACGTACACAGGTCCTTCTATAGTGTAGTATTTGAATCGGTGCTCTTTCGTCACATGGGACACACATGTACAAAGCCCAAGATCCTCAATTTAGCCTTAAAAGACTTTTGGGGCAAGTGTTATTAGCGAGCACCTATGAAGGCCGGCACGACACACAAGGGGGTGGGTGGCCAACACCACGGCCGGCCGCCTTTGTCTCCCAAGTGGCGATGTTTGCACACCACACCAGGTACTCATTTGAGACTGAGTCGTCCTAGGGGAGGGCCAGGACCGGTTTCAGATAATCGTCACTGGTGTTGGCCGTGAGCAGGAAGCGCTACACTACCGCTGATGCTTGGAAAGCCGAGTTGGAGTTCACAAGAAGCTGCAAACAAACGCCTCCTCGTGAGAAACCCGACAATGGAGAAGATGCTTTGGTACTCTTGCAGTCACGAAAGCTTTAAATCTAAAGATGCTTTGGCTTCGGTCTTCCGCGAAGTTAATGGGCCATAACAATACACCGCATCCACTGCACAAAGCGTGGCAGCAAATGTGGATTAATATAATTGATGATTCACAAATGGGAAATAAATTTAAAAAAATCCCCTGTCAGTGTGCGACTTTGGTCACCACCCAGAACAGACCACGATTCGATTCGCGACACACAGCGCTACTTCTGCGGAATTATCTGTCTACATCTACAATATGAAAATGAAGATTCGAATAAACGTTCGATACGTTACACGGGGCATACACACGTAGTGACCGACTCAGAGACACTAATAGTAGGAGGCACTCTATTTATTATACGGCCTTAACAGTTAACACTTGGTAACTACGGTCCCCAGTCAGGACAGCTGGTAGACTGCCTGACTGGCGATGCCGAGAGGGTTAAGACGAAGACGACGGTGAAGACTCCAGCAGCAGCACGACGGGGATCCCACTCCAAACGACAGCCCCGAGGTCTGCTCCCGGGGCCCGTCTTATATGGTCAGCGTGGCCTGGCTCCACCCCCGGCCACGCCCCCTTCTGGAACCTACGAGCGGGTTCTCGATGTGCCCTTTCCGTAACCTTTCCCCTACATCCCGCTCTGGTCTATCACGTGACCTGATGTCAGTCAGGGTTTCTGTAAGCTGCAGTTCCCGTTCCCAGCCAGCAGCCAGCGCTATGCTGCTACGTGACCGATTCTATGTCACTGCACACGCAAGCACATTTGCTGAATTACTTTATTAAACAATTATGCACCTTTACACACACAGTGTAAGCATGTTGTACTGCGTTGAACTGCAAAATAAGTTAATGGAAACGGAACCAATTGTTTTATTTTGTCGGTTAAGGCCCATTGAGCTAAATAACTATTTTTCAGTGGCGTATTATGTGGAAATGTATCGCAGCCAAATACTCTAAATGCATGTTTATAAACGTGGAGGGAAAACTCGCAGCACCCAGAGAAAAGTCCACACGAGAACGTGCAACTCCAAATATACAGACATCGGGGTCGGGATCGAACCTACGATCTCACCACCGTGAAGTGAAAACCAGAGTTCGGGGTAGCAGGGCACATTGTGAATAAGATATATCATCGGCCAGTGGCATAGTTTTCTCTCCGACCATATTTGCTATTTCCATAAACTTCAACTCCTTGATTCCTTCACAAGGGGAGAACTTGGACAATTGTATTCTTGCATCACGGCAGGCAAGGCTCGTGCCATGCACGCTGCTCCACGTGTGTGTTTTGTTGTGAAACGCGACCCACACGTGAAACACAGTGGCTGCTGCCAAATCCAGCTTCTTCCATTACTCTGTCTGCAGAAGGCTCTGATCGTTAAATTGCAATTAACATTTCGCGGTTGATTTCCATAAAAAAAATGATCATTAAATCAAACGCCAATTACAGACAGGACAGGAGACGTGGCACGGCCCACGGTCGCGAACACAGTATAATCATTAAACAATGCAGCTGATGCACAGCACAGTACTTCATAGGCAAATTAGCCTGGGCTGTAGATATAGATTCGATCTCTCACTCGTTGGACGTAAGGCATGCCACTCACGCACATATATCATACTAGTTCATAAGCTTGTCTAATGAACCTCATATGGTTTTTTTTTACAATTTTTATCTACAATCATACAATAATAACTACTCCAAAAATGTGTATTTTTCAGGAAAAAAGAAATGTTGATGACTTCATTCAACTTGTATTATTTAGAGATATACCCATTGGAAACCACTGAATTTAAAGATTCCGTTCTATGTTTTTATTATAAAGAGCAAAACATTAATGAACTCAATTCTCTTTGAGGGGAAGCTCTTATCTTTCGCCGTTTTCTAATTATTCAGATTTGAACATACAGTAAAATGCGTATTTTTTTCGTTAAAAACCACGTGAATCGGATACATCTCAAAAACAATAAAAGATAGAGTAATAGTTCTTGTTTAAATGTTATTTTCTGTTTAAAAAAAACCACAATGGTCTATTTTAACGGTTTCTGAATGACACACACAAACATGTTTATGGGAGATACAAATCGAGACTTTGGAGCCTTAAAATAAAAAAAGCTATGATTTTCTGATTTTTCCTGTTGTTTGTGTCCGAAAAGCTACCTATGTACCAGATTTCAGCTGACCATAGAGGTTTTTGAGACATACAGATGAAGGTATTTAATTATATAGACAGAAGATACCGTACTTTGTACAACTTAACTGACGCAGAGCACACGTTTTGGGTTCCTCCTGCTTGAAGGAGCAGATTATATTTTTAATCCAGAGAAAACGGCAATTTAAGGCGGCGACTTATCGGGCAATTCAAAATCTGTGGATACCACAAATTTGCGGTGTCAGGAGATTCCCGCTTGGTGTAAAAATGCGGTTTGAAAGCCTCACGGAAGAGTTGCGGCGCGCAGCATGAAAACACGCTTCTGGTGGTAAGTGCAGCTCAATGTTTGGAGGATTTGAGACTTCGCTACATCTCTGTTCCTATCCCAAGGCTCCCCACATCACAGTCCTCGCAGCCTACTGCGGTCCTCCATTCGAATACAAATAAAGGCATTGCACGACAAAACAATGATTTTTCGATTTAAAGCTTTCATTACTGCAGGGATTCATATTCTTGGTTCTTTCGGTAAAGTCACGTAAAAGGGAAATAATAAAGTAATAAAAATAAAGCTATAAAATACAATTCTCACGACGTTTCGGCCACAACGCAAGCAGCCGTCTTCAGGTGAAGAACAGTGTCCTAATTAGGACACTGAGGACGGCTGCTTACGTTGTGGCCGAAACGTCGTGAGAATTGTATTTTATTATGTTTTATTATTTCCCTTTTACGTGACTTTACCGAAAGAACCAAGAATATGACAAACAATGCTGACAATACTGTTAAAATGGTACTATAGCTACAAATGAAATAATCGCATGTTGCCCAATCATCAGGCACGTGCAGCGTGTGTAAAGACTATACCATTTGTGTTTGCAGAATATTGGTGAAGGAGGAAAGTACTGCAGTCGTGAAAAGGGAGCCCTACTCTCTCCATTATTTAACGAATAAGCAGTAGCGATAATTGTACCGCGCTAAACAGATTATTAACTCTTGCGACAAACGCGTCGAATCGTACGTGTTGCTCGCAATGTTGCTAATTATTATTCATAATAACATTCAAATGTTACTCTGCAGGATAATTGGGATCAAACGAGATGGGCAATACAAAATAATGGGGGGGGGGGGGGGAAACGATTATTACATTGATCGGGATCCAAATTGAATGGCGCTATCCACTGTCGCCTGTTTTGTATTTTACTGGTAGGCAAAATAAGCAGATGGATGTGACGCTTTGTTTACAGTTATGTGCAACGTATTTTAAGTCAGTACTGGATCGCGTCTGGTTGTGAGGTCTGTCGGAACGGTTGCATGACATAGTTTTGGTCATGCATAGGTGCATTTGAACATTACTTTTGGCGTGTAATGATACTTCATCACCCAGCTATCACCTCGGAAAGCCACTCCATCTTTTACCCCCGATCACACACACACCTGTGTCCCCACCATATACTATACATACCCACACTACTCCCATCCGGCTGAACAAATCACCTGGGGCAGCTGTTAAACAGACGGGCTGTTTTCACAAATACAGGCAACTTATCAGTTTTAGAAAATATGCCCTGTATACGATGGAGCTATGGTACGGCGATTAGCGCGATGCACTATGGATCATCCTGCCACCCGCGTTAGATTCTCTGTCACTGTAAGCGGTGGCAAGTGATACCAGAACCGGTTCTGGGACATCAGCAACCCGCATTGACCGGGGTGGTGAAGTAATGGGGAAAAGCTTTCAAAAACCGACATGGTGTGCTGTGAAACGTTGCCCATTATATAGTATTCCTTTTAAGGCCACATTGTTGTCGACGAATGTGTTGGGATTTTCTTTTTTTGACGTGATGTGGTGGGGGAGGCCTTCACCCATTGATATTCACGAAACTGAATGGCGCAATCACTATCCCAGCGTGAATCTACAGCGTGAATCTACGGCGTGAAAGGAGTTCGACATACATACAAAAAACTTTCATCGGAATACGGCCGACACCACCTATTTAATGTGCATTTTTCCCGAACCAAGAAGAGTGGACGAATTATCTCCATCACAATTTAGGCCCTAATTGATTGACATACTCTGGTCAAGTTAAAAGCCACTTCATAAATACGCTCATTATTATATCTACGTAAGAATAAATGTACGTCCAAAATCGTTCAAATCTTTCCCTATTGACAAATGTATCTCAATTCAGACACTGTAGTCATTACATTCCGCCCGCACCTGATTATCGCTAAACAATATCCCCGCGTGACGAACCGAACACCAGCCCAAGATACAGTGAGAGAAAAAAGTATTTGATCCCCTGCTGATTTTGTACGTTTGCCCACTGACAAAGAAATGATCAGTCTATAATGTTAATGATAGGTTTATTTGAACAGTGAGAGACAGAATAACAACAACAAAATCCAGAAAAATGCATGTCAAAAATGTTATAAATTGATTTGCATTTTAATGAGGGAAATAAGTATTTGACCCCCTCTCAATCAGAAAGATTTCTGGCTCCCAGGTGTCTTTTATACAGGTAACGAGGTGAGATTAGGAACACACTCTTAAAGGGAGTGCTCCTAATCTCAGCTTGTTACCTGTAAAAAAGACACCTGTCCACAGAAGCAATCAATCAATCAATCAGATTCCAAACTCTCCACCATGGCCAAGACCAAAGAGCTCTCCAAGGATGTCAGGGACAAGATTGTAGACCTACACAAGGCTGGAATGGGCTACAAGACCATTGCCAAGCAGCTTGGTGAGAAGGTAACAACAGTTGGTGCGATTATGCGCGAATGGAAGAAACACAAAAGAACTGTCAATCTCCCTCGGCCTGAGGCTCCATGCAAGATCTCACCTCGTGGAGTTGCAATGATCATGAAAACGGCGAGGAATCAGCCCAGAACTACACGGGAGGATATTGTCAATGATCTCAAGGCAGCTGGGACCATAGTCACCAAGAAAACAATAATTCGCAAATCTCCTTCCCTCAGCCAGGGCATTGAAAATGGGACGTGGATGGGTATTCCAGCATAACAATGACCCAAAACACACGGCCAAAGCAACAAGGAGTGGCTCAAGAAGAAGCACATTAAGGTCCTGGAGTGGCCTAGCCAGTCTCCAGACCTTAATCCCATAGAAAATCTGTGGAAGGAGCTGACGGTTCGAGTTGCCAAACGTCAGCCTCTAAACCTTAATGACTTGGAGAAGATCTGCAAAGAGGTGTGGGACAAAATCCCCCCTGAGATGTGTGTAAACCTGGTGGCCAACTACAAGAAACGTCTGACCTCTGTGATTACCAACAAGGGTTTTGCCACCAAATACTAAGTCATGTTTTGCAGAGGGGTCAAATACTTATTTCCCTCATTAAAATGCAAATCAATTTATAACATTTTTTACATGCGTTTTTCTGGATTTTGTTGTTGTTATTCTGTCTCTCACTGTTCAAATAAACCTACCATTAAAATTATAGACTGATCATTTCTTTGTCAGTGGGCAAACGTACAAAATCAGCAGGGGATCAAATATTATTTTTCCCTCACTATCTTGGGCTGGTGTTCGGTTTGTCACGCGGGGATTATTGTTTAGCGATACTCAGGTGCGGGCTGGATGTAATGACTACAGTGTTTGAATTGAGATACATTTGTCAACAGGGAAAGATTTGAACGATTTTGGACGCACATTTATTCTTACGTAGCTACAATAAGCGTGTTTATGAAGTGGCTTTTAACTTGACCAGAGTATGTACATATATGTGTGTGTGTGTGCCTGGGTGCAGCGTGTAATGACCTATTTTGCAAATGAACGGATGTACCGTGGCGGCGTGTTGCGAGGACTACCCTGATGGAACCCCCAACTTTACCATCATCAGCCATGATCAATCCACTGCTGGATGAAGACCCCCTCAAGCCAATTGCCATCCTTCGCGATCCAGTGATGTAACCGGCAATTCACCCAGCACCCACATGCGCATGGTGAGCACAATGTGGGCATCTCTCGCCCTGTGCGTCTTGGGGTTCGGATGGCGGTGGTGGCATGGTGGGTCGGCGTGTGTATGGACCTGCTGCTGTTCGTGTGCAGGGGAGGGAGAAGGGTGATGAGGGAGTGGAGCAGGTGTAACAGCCACTGCTCGATTTGGGCACAACGTGAGATTTACCTAACGGCGGAGTGAGACCGGGATGAGTGGTGCTTGTGTTGCTCTGCGACCCGCATATTACCCCGTGCAGTCTGCACGCTGACCGCTTTACTGAGGAGACACACGTGGAGTACTTTTCACGCGGTCCGCCCGTGTTGTTAGGCCGCTGATGACGGCTTCGATCCTTACGCCTTGGGCACCGTAGGGGAAATTTGAGCATAGTTCACCACGCTGCAGGTCCGTCCATCCGAGCACACTCCAGGCTCACGAACGCTTGCTAGCTTCTGATATCTGACTAGATTGGTCGCTTTCTCGTGAGTTAATCATCGGCAAACTAAGACAAAGGTCCGCTGTACAGTCTAAATAAACTGTTGGGGCAAGTGCTGTTAGCGAGCACCTATGAAGGCCGGCACGGCACACGAGGGGGTGGGTGGCCAACACCACGCCCGGCCGCCTTTGTCTCCCCGGTGGTGATGTTTACAAATCACACCAGGTACTCGTTTAAAACTGAGTTGACCTAGGGAGACATGCAGACTGTTCCCACACATATATAAACACACACATATATATACAGAGATATAATAAAATATACGAAAGAAGCAGGTGTTTCGGAGCCATCGTCAACGCTGGTGTTACTCGAGATGCATTGGGGGCATAACAAAGGTTGAATAATCATTCACATTTAAAAGCTGTGCAAATCAAAACTCTATTGCATTGCCTGAGCAGTCTGCTAAAACAAAACAAGGGGTCCAGCAAGGACACAATTAAGGAGCAATTTATAGAGGTTAAACATGAGAAACAGAGGTGTATTAATAATGGATGCTTAATTTGTGAACAATGTACTCAATGTGAATTGGTAATTTGTAATCAAAGGAAACATTTTAGTTCCGTGAGGGCTTCCTAAGCTCTGCCGGAGAGATTGAGTCTGAGTACTGTGTATGTGTATGGAGACAATCTGGCTGTAGAGTGGTGCTGTAGAGCGGTGTGTGGTGTTGCCGTTGCCTGCAATTATTGTGCAGGAGAGCCGTGCAGTCGAGGTGGCTGGCGGGTGTAGAGTGGTGATTGACTGTCGAGTTGTGCAGTAGCAAGCACCGTAACCATTGGGCTTGGACACTCCAAGGTAAAGAACGAGATGAGTCTCATAGCCAGGGCTTCCAAACATAAATATATGAACAAAATACAGCAACGGTTTGTACGCCTTTGTGGGCATCGTTGTGTGTGTGTGTGTTTTTTTTTTTATCGGGAACCGCCGAGGCTTGAAACACCGCAACTTGGATTTATTTTCATTCCAGTGCTTTCTCAACGATGCGCGCGGCGTCCTTGAGCGGTGTTGCAGGTGCATCATCTGCCCGGGGTTAAGGGGATTGTCTCCTCTCGGCCCTTGAGCGGTGTTGCAGTTGCATCATCTGCCCGGGGTTAAGGGGATTGTCTCCTCTCGGCCCGATGAGCCCCAGTGGGGCACCCTTGAGCGCAATGGCTCGGCAAGACCGTGTCAATGCTGTTTCACGCCGCCGTTACAGCTCAAGGCCGATGCCCGGGTGCTAATACGGGCTGAAGGCATGACACATGTATACAGCCCCCCCCCCCCCCCCATACCTGCATGTGTAAGCTGAAGCACTGTTGACCTACAGTAAATAGGTAGTATATAGATAGGTCAGTGTCAAGGTGAACGGGTCACTAGCGCCCTTCCTTCGTCGTTCCACGTACAATTGCATTGTGCACGGTATTGTGCACGGTATTGTGCACGGTATTGTGCACGGTATTGTGCACGGTATTGTGCACGCGGTATTGTGCACGGTATTGTGCACGGTTGACACTTGGCTCGGTGGCACCGTGGGTTTTGCATGGGGCCCTGATGCCAGGAATGAACTGATTTTGTTTAGTTTCTCCCCCCCCCTCGCACCTCCGAATAGCACGGTTCGCTACGTACGGTGTGAAATAAGTTCTACATACACACGTGTATAATTTCCCTCCCCTCTGCACGCACAGTTGCTATTCCAATGACTTGTGCTCCAGGGTGAGGTCTCACAGTTGTATCCTCACCATCTGACTTTTCGCCCTTTCTTTGGCCACTGACCTCTTGGTGTAACTTCAGTGCTTGTCACGGTAACCTTCCCCTCCTCCGTCCTGAACACGCGTACCTCTCGTGCATTCGCTGTAAGAATAATAATGGTTGTAATGCAGCTCAGTTTATTGTCATCGTCACCATCATCATCATCATCATAACGCATCATCAATAATAATCCATCATCGCCTCCATCTATCCATCATCCATCCATCATTAATCGCCACCTACATCAATCCATCATGCACAACAAATCAGTGTCATTGGACCCCACCTGTGAGTTTGCACTCGGTCGTGGAATATTTTCCAAAATATTTTAAGAGGCTCTGCTAAGGATAGCGTGCTTCCTGTCATAGGAACTCGTGATTTCCACCATTATCTCAGGCCCGTAAAAAAAGATGAGATTGACATCTCCAGATGCTCAACTTCAAATACGAGGACTGAATGTTGCAGTGTTAATGCACTGTTATTGTTACTGCCATTATTACTACAACTAGGGTATTCAGATATTAGTGCGGCGGTCAGTATTTGACGCGTTTATTCGTGGCTCGCGTAACACGTGTCGCCCAAACACACGTTACTCACTGCTGGAATAATTCTAGAAAGATGGATGTGCCGGTAATGGTGAAGCAGACACGGGGACCTTTTCCAGCCGAAATGCCATTCCGTTAATGCCGCCACGCCACGCGACGTCACATTAACATTTTAACGTCTCGTGTAAGTGGCTCCGTACGCATGGTGCAAATGATGAATGAAGGCGGGCGCGGTGAACTTTGTGCGCACCTGTGCACTACATGTATGCCCGGCCCTTATTTTCTCTCTCTTCGTTGAAGCGCGGGAGGTTTGCCGCTTCATTAAGGAATTCTCGTGAATTATACAATGAGTTGAGCAATTAATTCATTAATTAATTCAAACATCCATTTGTATTAATTCATTAATTAATTCAATTATTCATTAATTAATTCATGGATTCATTCATCAAGCACACACGCGTGTATTCGTTCAGCGTTCGTGTGCACGTTTACATTTGTACTCGCTGTTTTGCGGGTACGTACTTTATTTAAAAAAACACAACTTTCCTGAATAAAGAGACTTCTGGTCTCAGCAGGCTAGTTGTAAAGGATATCTGTGCCATCTGTGTACGTCTGTAAGTCTATGTGTCTACGCGCAATTATATGGCTTTATATGCCCGTTTATGGGCTTCTACATGTAAGTATATGGGTTTCTTAGAGTTTTGGGAGTTTTGTATACGTGTAGTGTAATAGCGCCGGCTGGTGGACAGCAGCGGCAACTGTGAGTGACAGACAGCACACACGCCGGTGAGGGCGTGCGCGGGGTGTAGGCAGAGGGGGGAACTGGGGTAAGGGTCATGGAGGACCCCATCTGGAGGCCCCTGGAACCTGCTAGCGGGTTCGAGAATGGAGGCGCGGCCAGGGCGGAGCCAGAGCCGCGCGGGGGGCTCAGCCCTGAGCGGGGGGCTCAGCCCTGAGCGGGGGGGCTCAGCCCTGAGCGGGGAGGCTCAGCCCTGAGCGGGGGGCTCAGGGCTGCCGGTTCTGAGTGGACTCGTCGCCGTCGTCACTGCCGTCTCCGCTAGATATTGCGCTACGAATGAGAGCAGTTGGCGATCTCAGTCAGTGCCGTCAGTGTTGGGCGGCCAGTGTTGTGTACAGGCGAGGCTGAGCTACTGTGGAGAGTGTGTGGACGAGACCGTGAAAGTTGTTAATGAAGATGGTGCCTCCTAGAAACTGTCTTTGAATCGTTGACACGACATAAGTACATGAGTTTCTACATAATTATATAGGTGTATAAGACTGGGATTATATTATATTTTTAAAATTCTATTTGTAAGTATTCGAGTCTATGTATGTTTTTGGGTCTCTTTTTAAGTCTAAAGGTTCATGGATTGCTATTCAAGTCTGTTCACATCTACACTGTTTTGTTAATTTTAACAAATATATCCCTCGGAGAGAGACTTACGGGGACACGACTCTTAATTATATCATTTAGAGCCCTTTGACAATCTGTTGCCAGATGGACTCCCCATGCCACCATTATCAGTCATCGGAGTTGATTGGCCATACTTCACCACACTGGTCAGTGCAGTTTGATTAATTGGAGGGCGCTCTGGACCGGTTCGGATATCATTCACCCCTGATATGAGCCGTGGCCAGGAATAATTGAACTCTTACGAGGTTATAAATAAAGGTCATCTGTCTGGAGAGATATAAATGAGAGGTTTTACTTGTTGACATCTCTGCATCAATGTGCACATATATGGGTGTTCTTTCCTGCCTTGACAAGATGTATGAGAGATGTACTAGAGGAAATAGTATGCTCTACCTGTGACTAAATCGCCTGGAATGCATCCCGTTTCATCGGAACTGAGAAGCTCAGCAGGGTTTTTGAGCATGGATGGTGTGAATGTCGGTGACCAGTAAGCACAAACCAGTAGTAAATGATGTGCGGCGATGTGGTGGGCAGCAGAGGTCAATACTGCCAAATCAATTGTTGTATCGTATTCTACTTCTATTATCCTATGTCTCTTCTCTTTACCCCCCCCCCCGACCCCCTACGACGCAGACGGCATGGGGAAGCCCTTATTTCAGTACATGTATGCTCTACGCAGTAAATCGATCAGCTTATACAAACTGGTCCCTATTTAAAGAAGACGCAACACAAAAATAGAAAATAACTCGTCACAAAAAAAATACTTTAAAATAAATACCAAATTCGATATGACACATTGACTGTTCATAAAATTAAGCGGTTTTGGGCGGGACGCGTCGCTAGCAGGGATAATCGTGACGAATTGGACGAGACTGGTGATGGAATGGCAGCCAAAGAGGGAAAGGGACCCGAGTGAGCGACCATCGTGGGGACTGAGCAATGAGATGGAAGATGGCATCACATGACCATATGGGATTGTAATAGGTTGGAGAAAGCTTCATTCAGCAGTAGATTGATCATAGCTGATGATGATGACGAATATTATTTTCATATATATGTGTGTTTAACTAGCGCAGGTATTAGCATATTGGCAGCCGAAATTATCCCCATGCCATCATTCACAAGCGCAGATCATTGTGTCCTGATGTCATGACCCAAATCCCAATTTTCTAAATTACCACAACCTAATTAGCACAAACAATTGCTATCGGTGCCTCGTGGTCCCATTGTAACTACGGCATCACAAGTCCCTTTTGGAAGGAAAAAAAAGATAATTAACCACAATGGGTGTGTCACCTGGTTAAATAAATGGCATTGATTGAGAACCGCTGAGTTAAACTTGGCAGTTTGTGATGAGATCACGTCGTTAATGAGGCCAAGCCTTTTCCTCTCTCTCTCTACCCTGTCCTCTCTAACGTGACTATTTATTTGCACATCTCCCAATATTATGGTCAGATGGATGAGCGCTGCACTTGGAATATCACTGCGCGTGGTTTAATCTGGCGCGGCGGCTAGTAGCGGTGCTGGTGGTGTTGGCGACTGCTACTCCTGCTGATACTGCTGCTACCCAGCGGGGGGGGGGGGGGGGCGGGGGAGGTGCTGTGACGGTGGCGGCGAACCTCGACCACATATTTTAAGCAACGAAACTATCGACCTTGCGGCCACGTGCTTTCGCGGGAGAATACTCGAGAGGACGCCGTGGATCAATGTGTGCCGCTGGCGTGGCGGTGGAAGCGTGTTGGAACGGCCTTGCGTCATTAAGCCCGCTGCGAAGCGCGGCTACATCACTGAGATGCATTGTCCGCGGAGACCCTAATGGCTTTGAGCTCTTGAAAAAAAAAATCGATGTCTGCTGCGTACAGAGCGCAAAGAGGGGAGCTAGCTACAGGGCAGTGTGTGCTCAGTGGCTTCCAGGAACTGGTACATATAGACTGTATATGCATGTATATACTGTATACATATACACGGTGTGCAGTATATATGTACTCGAGGTGTGTGTTCCAATTTTCAGATGAATCCGAAAATGTAATATTAATGTTAATAAAAACTCGCCTAGATACGAAATTTTGGGTCCAAAGGAAACAAAAAAATGTGTTTCGGATTCATCATAAAATAAGACGTCACGTGAAAAAATTCGTAAGCACATGACGTCACTTGCGTGCTTATTTCCCACTAAAACTTGCGTCGTGTGGCTTTATCCTTAAAAATAAAATATATATACAAAATCAACTAGATGCAGCTCTAGAGAGTAGTTGGCCTACTCTTCCACACTGGCTCAGATACTTTGGAAGAGGTGGGAGTGCCCAAACGTATCCCCACTCCAAATGCGACCTGGCAATCGACGAACTGGCGTGGACCCTAGATTTGAAGCTTTCGTGACTGCAAAGATCCATACTCTTTGGTTCTATTCGGTAAAGTCACGTAGGTAAAAAATAAAACAACAAAAACACGACGTTTCGGCCACAACACAAGCGGCCTTCATCAGGTGAAGGGACCAGACTGTCTCGAAGACTGCGTTGGAGTGAAAACTCCAGCACAGTCTGGCCGAAACGTCGTGTTTTTTGTTGTTTTATTTTTTACCTACGTGACTTTACCGAATAGAACCAAAGAGTATAGGGTGGACCCATTTATACTGATGGGTGGACAGAGGCGGTAGGGAGATTTAAAAGAAAAAAAGAAAAACTTGTCCCCATTGTATCAACTCCTGCGCTGGGATATCGAACCATCGACCCCCTGGATTACAAGTCCAGTGTGCTAACCATTAGACCACGGCAGCATCCATAGAGAGCGGCGTTCTTCATCGCAAGGCCCGCGGGGTCATTGGCGACCCCTGGTGACCTTTAGTGCGGGCGCCTAACGTGCGCCCCCCCCCCCGACAATGCACAAATATGAAAACACCCCGTCACCATCATCATCGTCGTCGTGTTATCAGACCCAATGGGTTCAAATGTTTGGCGGTCCTCACACTGATTGATGTCTTATCTGAAAATGTGTGAAGACGTTGAATAAAACATACATCAATACTTTGCTGTTCAACGTGTGGAAATAAAGTTGGTGGGTCATGCCGAGATGGAACTGCTAAGTGCGTGGGACGATCACCTGTAGGCGAAACGAGGGTGCCTCTGGGAGGTTGCTAACGGGCG